CACTTGTAATACAATACTCTTCAGTTGAACTTTCCACTTTCATTATGAAGAAGACACCCCACTTGTTATATTACTATTAAAATTTCAATATATCGGATTGTTATAATAAACCACATGACAATCATTTATATATAGCATCAATTAATTGTTACACCAATGATAATTAGTGGGCACATGACTTGGAATTTTAAAAGAAAATTAATCCAACTATATAATAATAGAAATAATTTATAAAAATATAAGTTAAAGAATTGTCAGAGCACTTGTGTAGGAGAAAAATACTCAGACTAAAGCCATTTGTAAGTATTAAGTATTAGTGTCATCAATAGGATAATGGTAACAAAAAAGTTTGTATATATAATTTAGATTGTTTTTTTAAATAAATTAAATGATGAAAAGGTCAGAATTAAATTTCTAATGATAAAATTAATTGATTAAAGGTTATTAGAAAAATATTATCACAATTACACTAAATTTTAAACCCTGCATTATATGTGATATAATGTTCACTTAATCTGGTTTTGTTGCAGTATGTCCCAAATAATATATTTATATTTTTCAAAACTTTTGTGAAATAATAGTATATAGTAATAGTAGTGGCTTTTCTTTATGCGTAGATGATATAAATTCGAATGGAGAACCTACGACAGATAAAGTATTAGATTCTTGTGGTGATAATGGTTGTACAGCTGAAGAATATAATCCAAGTCTTCATATCACTTCATTCTTTATAATTCTTATAACAAGTTCATTAGGTAAAAAATTATTTCTCATTTATATTATAATTAATTGAGAATATTGTGAATTAATGTTAAAATTTTGTTTATTAATGAACAATTAGATTACAGTTTCAAGCATGTAATATAGTTAACAAGGTGATTTATTAAAGAATTGATCATAAAATTAAGATATTATATATTAATATATCAATTGTTGACACCATTTAGGGGAAATTTTTTGGAGCAAAAGCAACTACATTTTTGGTTATTAGTAGAGCAAATGAAAATAATACCTTCTCACCAGTTTATGAATCA